CAGAGACATGGCGTGGGGAGCAGGCTCAGCATGGGGAGTGGGCTCAGAGAGACACTGTGTGGGGAGTGGGCTCAGAGGGGCACAGCAAGGTGAATGGGCTCAGAGGGGGCTGGCAGGGGGAGAGGGCTCTGAGAGGCACAGCATGGGGAGTGGGGCCGGGGGGGCACAGCAGGGTGAGTGGGATCAGAGACATGGCGTGGGGAGCAGGCTCAGCATGGGGAGTGGGCTCAGAGGGGCACAGCAAGGTGAATGGGCTCAGAGGGGGCTGGCAGGGGGAGAGGGCTCTGAGAGGCACAGCATGGGGAGTGGGTCAGCACTCGGTCCCTCCTGGGGGTTTCCCTGCCCTGGCACAGGAACTGGGAGCTGTTCTGCCCCAGCCCCTCCCCATGCAGGTACCCCAGGCAGACCTGGGGCTGTGGGGATGCTCTTCATGGGGCAGCATCAGGCAGGACAGGTCCCCACCTCCACCCTCAGGTGTGCTGGGTCATTCATGCCTATCCCTCCCTGGGACCCTGACTGACATCCACTCTCCATTAAATTTGGCAGCACTGACATCTAACCAAAAGTTTCTGCTGAGTGAGTGTGTGCACATGTCCATGAGTGCAGCCACCTCCTCCTGGCACACACAGACCAGGAGTGTCGTCTCAGGGGGTCTGTGCTGAGCTTAAACATCAGGACTGATCAAAGAGTCTTGCTGAGACCCTCCAGAGCATCAGGAAAAGCCTGGCCCTCAGTCCAGGTTGGTCTCTCTGGTTCTCCCCAGCAGGAATCAGGGTGAGCCACATCCATGGAGTGCTCAGCTCACTCTGGGATTTCCTTAGAATTTTCTTTTCTGAGGCTGTTGATTCCCGGAGGGATGTGGGGCTGGAGGGGAATCTGGTTTAGGAGAGGAGTTTCTGCTGCTGCCTGGTGGAGTGAGGAACTTTATTCAGGGCAGTGGCTCAACAGCAGAGAAGGCAGCAAAATCTACCCATAAACTTGGCCTGGATTTGCAGCAGTATTTGGTGGTTGGTTTGCAAAATCCTGAGCTTTTCCCTCAGTGGTTTGTGTGGTGAAACACGGGACAAGAGCTGCAGCCTTTGTGCACCCCACCAGCACCCACAGCTCTGCACCAGGGCAGGTCCACACCTGCCCCACCACCAGTGCTTCCATGGGATGGCACCTGCTGAGTCCCAGGGCAAAGACCAGCTGCACTTTGGGACACTGAGAGGGGTCTCCATGAGGAAGATGCAGGTGGAGATGGACACAAATCCCTGGGGGAGCTCTGGTGTCCCCAGCCATGCACAGTGGGATGAGGAAGTGGTGTGCTGTGCTTTGGCACTGGGGTCCCCAGCAGCACCAGCAAACAGGACCCCAAGATTTCCCAGTTCAGAAACCAAACATCACCACACAAAGCACTGGGAGAGCAAAGGGGGGAGAAACAGAATCACATGAGGCTCTTCCTGATGGAGTGGGAAAGGAAAGATCCCGGTGTTACCTCCAGCTCCGAGAGCTGCCAGGGTTTCAGCAGCACAGCAGACACACCAGATGTGAAATCTGAGACAGGACAGCAAAGAGTCATCTGCTGATTCTCTCCTTCCAACAACGGTGGTTAAAAAAACTGGGAGAAATCTGATAGCACTTTGCTGCCAGACTGCTCAGGCCAACCATCAAATCTGAGCACATCTGGGATGAATTAGGGATGGAGCACGGGCAAGGCAGGAACTGGAATTGCATTAACTCTCCCAAGAGCTGCAGATCCTTTCAGTGCTTCCAAACAAGCTCCCGGGCAGTGGCAGGGAGTGGAATCCTTCCCCAGCTAACAATGGGAGAAGTGTGACCAAAAAAGGATGCTCTGCCAGGAAGTGCTGGAGAAATGAGCATTGTCTGGGAATTGTGGTGAGAAGGGTGGCTTTGCCAGAAAATAAAAGGAGGGAATAAATCCACTCTGGAGGAAATGGAAAGCTGAAAGGGAGATGATGGTTTCAGCCTGACATTAACTCCCTACACAACACACAGAGCTCAGAGCACCCCTGGATACAGAGGAAGGACTCAGCCCATGGGCAAGCAGGGGGTGCTTGCCTAAATATGGGACAGGACAGCCTGGATTAGGCTGCTGAGGTGTGAGATCTGGGGATTATTCCAGAGAATAAAGCAAATTTCCAACCACAGAGCCAAATTAAAATTGTACCATGGCTTGACCATAAAACCTCTCCATGAGAGATGTTACAGGGACAAAGACAAAAAATGCCACCCCAGGGTGACATTTCAGGAGGAGTCTGATTGACACTAGAAGAGGAGGATTTGCACTAGAAAAGGAGGAGCAGCAATAGTCCAGTTTGCAGAGGTGGGATTAGCAGCTCAAAAGGACAAAGAACAGAAACCACAACTTGCTACTATGACCAAACTTCCCTACCTGGTCAAGTCCTTGGTGATCCCTGATCAAGGACTGTAGAAGACATATCATGTATTGAGGGCAACCGAGCTGGGGAAGGGGCTGGAGCAGCAGGAGCAGCTGAGGGAGCTGGGGGGGCTCAGCCTGGAGAAAAGGAGGCTCAGGGGGGACCTTCTGGCTCTGCAACCCCCTGACAGGAGGGGGGAGCCGGGGGGGGTCGGGCTCTGCTCCCAGGGAACAAGGGACAGGAGGAGAGGGAACGGCCTCCAGCTGTGCCAGGGGAGGGTCAGGTGGGACAGGAGGAGGAATTTCTGCCTGGAAAGGGTGGTCAGGCCTTGGCAGGGGCTGCCCAGGGAGGTTTGGAGTGCCCAGCCCTGGAGGTGTCCCAGGAAGGCCTGGCCGTGGCACTCAGTGCTCTGGGCTGGGGGACAAGGGGGGCATCAGGCACAGGGGGGACTCCATGGGCTGGGAGGGCTTTTCCAACCTCAGTGATCCTGGGATTGTGGGATTTTATGGGATTCTACGGGATTCTACCAAGATGGCAGAAATGTGCCCCCTCCTCTCTCCCTGTCTTTCCTGCTCCAACAGAGAGGAGTGAAAACCAAAGACAGGAGGGATGTAAATGTTGTCCATTGTTCTTGGCTTTCATTTTTTGCTTGTTGGTCCTGGTCTGGCAAACCTGAAACATCCCAAAATACATGGATACCGTCAGTTGTTTTTCCAGCTGTGAGCAGGGGCTGGTGCTGTGGGAGGGCTCCTGAGCTGGGCAGCAGCAGGACACTGAAGTGCCCTGCCCTGTGACAGCTGGGTCACCACATCTGCAACACTGTCTGTGCTGGGGGCACTAAACTGAGAAATTACATCTATCTCTTTTCAGACTGAGCCACAAACCTTGATAGGGACACAGGTGAAAGAGTAAGGGAGGTGCTGGCTGGAACCCAGCCATCAGCATCCACAGATGGGCACTGGGCCCAGTAGGGTTGGAATATGGGCAGGTTTCCTTCAGATGGTGCCTCTGGAGCTGTGCCAGCCCCGTGTGGCTGCACTGAGGTGCTGTTTGCTCTCACATTGATCAGCAGCAATGGCAACAGGGCTGGGGCTGCTCCTCCACACCTGCTGCAGCCACAGGCAGGGTGCACATCCAGACTGGGATCAGCGGGGATGTGAAGCTCCTGGAGAGCCACTCCATGGGCCAGCAGCAGGGCTGGGCTGAGCAAACACACAGACAAATGAAGCCCAAAACAGGACATTAAATTACCTGCTCAAGATCAAGCCCCCTTAGGCCCAAAGCTCATGTGGTGCTCAGGCAGAGCTGTGCCTGGCAGTGCAGAGGGCACAGAGCCCCACTGGGGTGTTGTGCCCAGGCCAGCATGGATGTGACTGCTGGGGAGCACAGGGGAACCCCATGGGGACAGCTTGGGCTTGGCAGCAACCACCAGGCTCTGCTTGGAGATGCTCCAGGCTTTTGCAGAGCACCCCTTTGCCCCAGGGGTGGGCCCAGCAGAGGACAGAGCAGTCCCAGCCCTTCTGACACCACTGAGCCCCCGGGAGGAAGCCTGGCAGCTCAGGCAGGAGTTTGCTTTGCAAAACCAAATCTAATTCCTGGGTGTGAAACATCCACGTCCCTCTCCTGCCTTCCTCAGCCCTGGCATCTGCACAGGCTCATCCCTGCTGGACTTCCCAGCAGCAGGAACACTTCCCAGTCCAGACCCCTGCAGTGCCCTCAGCAGAGCCCTGAGCAAGCAGTGGGTACTATAATGCTCAGCCCTTCCCATTTCCCATAATGTTTTCTCAGTGCTAAAGGCACTTTATTTCTGGGAAAATGTATTTACCCCTTGAGCTGATGAAAAACTAATGTGCCAGAAGCCACACTGCTGACCCAGCTGTCCCAGGAGCCCTCCCACAGCTCCTGCCCCAGCTCACAGCTGGAGAAACAAGTCCTGTGGGACCAGGACTTCCCACCTCCCATCTGAGCATTTAGGTAGAAGTGAGAAGCTCCTGTGCTGCAGCTGCTACAAGGCTGGGTGTGGCAGTGAGGAATATCCAGCCCCGGAGGTCTGAAGGAACCTTCAGCCCATGGGAAGGGGCTTTCTGCTGTCCCACAGAGTGTTCCTGACATGACACTCCTGTGTCTCAGCTTCTCCACCTGCAAAAGGGACACACGACCATGTCACGAGGTGCTGGGGTGTAATTTGGGATCTGGGAGGGAAGGCAGGTCCAAGGACAGAGCCAGCATCCCCAGCCCTGCCTGCAGCACCCTGCTGTTCCCCTGGAAGCAGCCAAGAGCCCGGGGAGGTTCCAGGTAGTGGGTTCCACCACTGGATCCCTGTGTGAGCTGGGAGCTGGTGAGCTGGAAGGTGTAAGGACAGGGACAGGGGCTGCAGGAGTCCCTGGGTGGGCAGTGGGGCTTCACAGGCATCTTCTGTCCAGCCTACCTGCAGGCCCCCATTGCCAGCTCCTACATTCCATTGCTCTCACAGGTGTGATGCCCCTCGCTCCCTGCAGTGACCCACAAAACCTCCTCCCCCTTCCTCTGAGTTGCACTTACTGGTGACCAAAAGGGAAGCACCTCCATCCTCCATCACTTGCCTGGCTCTGCTTTCTCTTTTGTCCATCACAGGTCACCTCCTCAGACCCCACCACCATGGAAATGCCCCCCAGGAGCCCTGATGGGAGCGAGAGGTCTCCTCCCTCCAGGGAGCTCATCACCAGTCGCACGGGGAGCACCCTGTGCATGAGCTCCCGCAGCGAGTCCATCTGGACCAGCACCTCCAGGAGCAAGTGGGAGATCTACCACAAGCCTGTGATCGTGGTGTCTGTTGGAGCTGCCCTCTTCCTCTTAGGGACAGTCATCATCATCCTGTCCTGCTTCCTGAAGGATGAGAGAAAAGTTTTTAAAATGTCTGGCCCGGCTTTCCTGTCCCTGGGGCTGATGCTGCTTGTTTGTGGCTTTGTGTGGATCCCCATCATCAGGAAGAAGCAGAAGCAGAGACAGAAGTCACAGTTTCTACAGAGCCTCAAGTCCTTCTTCTTTAACCGCTGAGAGCAGCCCAGGACCTTCCCGGGAAGGTTCCCCTCCCCTCTTCCAAGTTGTGCTGATTAGCCATAAAAAGAAACACGTTCTTGTACTCTCCTAGAGGATTTCATCCCAGTAAGTCTCTTCCCTACATGGTTTCCAGTGTCAAAATGAACTTTGTATTTCATCCAAGTAATGTCAGAAAAAAAGGGAGCAGGATTTTCCAGCTGAGCCCAGCAAGGCAGTTCCAAACTCTCTGTGTCATTGGGTCAGTGAGTGACCCAACAGCACATGGTGGGGAAAGCAAAGCTCCCGAGTAACCTGGGCTAAAGCAAAGCTCCAAAGTTACCTGGGCTAAAGCAAAGCTCCAAAGTTACCTGGCTCCCCCCAGGAGCTTCTGCAAGATACCTCAGCAGAGAGGAGCCCTCTGACTGCAGAGTGTGAGCCAGGCTGGTGTGAACATTGCTGCAAACTGCAGTTTGGGTGGAGAAACTGAGAGGCCAGATGTGGTTCATCCAGAGGTAGTGAAGAGGAGAAGCAGGACAAAATAGTTCCAGATCACTTTGTATCAGAAGAGGCCACCACAATGGGCAGTACACATCATCAGAGCTCAGGAGAACCAGACGTGATGCCCATGGCCAGAACATTCCTGTCATTCCTAGAATCACAGAATTATTGAGGTTGGAAAAGAATTCCAAGCCCATGGAGTCTCCCCTGTGCCTGATCCCCACCTTGTCCCCCAGCCCAGAGCACTGAGTGCCACGGCCAGGCCTTCCTGGGACACCTCCAGGGCTGGGGACTCCACCAACCTCCCTGGGCAGCCCCTGCCAAGGCCTGACCACCCTTTGCAGGAAGAAATTCCTCCTGATGTCCAACCTGACCCTCCCCTGGTGCAGTTTGAGGTCGTTTCCTCTTGTCTTGTCCCTTCCTGACCCCCACCTGCCTACACTCTCCTTTAAGGTAGTTGTAGAGAGTTGTCCCCCCTGAGCCTCCTTTGCTCCAGGCTGAGCCCCCCCAGCTCCCTCAGCTGCTCCTGCTGCTCCAGCCCCTTCCCTGTTGCCCTTCTCTGGACACCCTCCAGCCCATCAGTGTCTTTCTTGCAGTGAGGGGTCCACTGACCTGTCACAACGACTGCTGGGCCACTGGAGCTCACTCCATGCTGTGTGGGGTGTTCCCAGGCTGTATTTGTTGCTCCAGAGGGTCAGAGTGAGGAGCAGCATCACAACCATCATGTTCTGGATGTTTAAGGAAGGCTGTTCCCCAAGGCCTGCAGGGCCAGACCCATCTGACAACATCTGTCCATCTGCACTGGTGGTGTCTGTCAGAGCCACCCCTGAGCCCCAACCATCAGCCTGTTGGTGCCACCAGAACTGGACCACAGGCAAGAGAGACATGTTTGTTACCTCCACCCTGCCTTTAATAAATGAGTGCCTGAGACAACTCACCAAGGAAAGCACGGATCCTTCCTGCACGGATTTGGTTTCATTTTGCATTTTCAGCAAGCTGGAATTACTTTAAAAGACAAATTTGGAACAGAAATTCTCAGTCTGAAGAGCTGGGCTCAGTCTGGACAGTGAGATCTGGGTTGATATGAATAGGCCCAAAATGTCCAGGGTTCAGGCACTGATGAGAGGCTGATGTTCCAGAAGTGCTGATCCCATCTGGATCCTCAGCCTGGCGGGACCCCCCAGCACAGCAAGCACTGGCTCAAAGGCCCTGGCCCCTGCTGTGGGGTGAGAATGTGGTCAGTGCTTCAGAAGCAAAGAGAAACAGAGAAGAGGAGACCCCACCAAGCTGCCCTTTGTAGTCTGCACCTCCACAGGGAAGCTGAGGCATCCCTGCTGCTCTTCCAGATGCTGTGGGAGGTGGGGAGGTTGGCAGGGGGTGTGTGGAGAGAATCTGAACGTGTTTGGTTTCAGATAGACAGGGTTTAATAACCTCCCTCAGCTGCTGAGGAGAGGAAGCCCATGTAAGCCCTCAGCTTCCTCTAACCCAATATCCCACATCTACCAACAGCTCCCAAGGAGCACTGGAGGAAAGCACAGAGAATGGGATGTGCAGACAACAGTCCTTCTCCTGGTTGGTGCCCAGCTAACTGCAGCTCAGAGCCAAGGCAGAGGCTGCTCAGCCCCCTGTTTAACAGCCACTGACAGCCAACACAGCCACCTCCTTCTCTTTTGCCCCCTTGTTCGGGTCACTTTGTGCTTTCAGTCTCTGCAACATCCTGGAGCCACAATTCCTCCCAGCTCCCTAATTTGCCAGACAGGCTGGAAGCTCTGCACAGCATCAGGAGACACAGCAGAGGCAGAGGGGCCCAGATCCTGCAGCTGCAGATCAGCAGACAGCCAGCAGGGCAGTGACAAGGGACACGTGTTCCCTGTCCCCCAGGCCCATGCCCTGCAGCTGTGGGAACTGTGCTGGGGCTGAGAGTTGATTCCTTCAGGAAACACGGAACCTCCTCCTGGCAAACTCGGGTTGAACTCCCTTATTTCTGAAACTGGTGCCACACCAGCATTTCTGCCAGCAAATATGGTCCAAGATGCCCACGTCCCAAAGCATTTGGGCTTCCACAGCGTGGCTCACGGGGAGCTCAGGCTCACCTTGCCCCTGCTGCCAGGCTGCCCCCAGTCTGTGACCAGGGCTGGGCAGTGCCATGTGCCTGGAGATCCCTCCACCAGCGTGGGCTGAGCTGGAGGTGGCACATCCCGTCCTGGCAGCTCACACAGCTGGATTAGGAGGATTTGAGCACACACCCTTTGCCCCAGGCTCAGCCTGGCCCTGAGCTTTGTGTCCTGGGGGTGCAGATGCGTGTCCCTGCCAGCCAGTGCCAGGTTTGGGGGTGTCCCAGGTGTATATTCTGGCCCCAGACCCAGCAAACCTCTGTTCCTCAGCCATTTGTTGTGTTGTTCCAGGCTTTGCCTGTTTTTCCAATCCTGCCCTGGCAAAAGGAGCAGCCTCTGCTGATTTCACTGCAATGGCCAGAGGATACTCACCCAAAATTCCTGCTCAGGGGCAGCTGCAGCCAAAAAAACAGATGGACATCAGGACTCTGGAGGGGGAAATCATGGAGCAGCTTGAAGAGCATCCCCAGGGTCCCAGCTGGATGCAGATCTGGGCACAGGTAGAGTCCTAAAGCTGCACAGGCTGGAAGAGGCACCTGGAAATGCCTGTTCAGCCAGGGCTGGCTGTCCAAAGGGATGTGACAGAACTCCTAAAAGGCTTGGAGAGAGGGAGCAGGGGTCCTGCTCTCTGTGCCTCATGGCCAGGGATAAGGAGATGACCAGTGAAATGTTAATATGATAAGAAGTCATTGAGACCAAGAATTTAATTGGATTCCAGGCTGGTCATTTATAACAGGAATATTAGGTTTCATTAAAAGAAAAATTTCCCAAGGGACTTGCATGTGGCTGCTCTGGTCTCCTCTTTGCTCTGTGCCTGTGGGGAGGGAGGGGAGGCTGTGGGAAGAGGGGTCTGGGGCAGAGGAGGGGGTGGTACCCTCTGGACAGAGGGGGCTCACTTGAGACAGAGGGAGATGAAGAGAGGGGCAGGGGCTGCAGGTTTGTCTGGGTGCTGTCCCTGTGTGCTGGGTGAGGATCTCAGGGCTGGGGGGCTCAGTGGACACCTCTGTGGAGGTGTGAGCAGCACCAGGGTGGCACAGGAAGGTGTCTGGCAAGAGGGTGGAGATGCCCAGGTGATGGTAAAGGCAATAACCCAGGGATCAGCTGAGGAGAGGGTTTATCAGGTGGATCTCTATCACTGGCTGCCCAGATCTGTGGCAGGACAGGGAGGGAAAGGGAGAGGAATGTTAATTGAAAGGGAAGTCAGATTGACAGCCTGAAGATAAGTGCAGATGGAATTCCAGGAACAAAGTGATAACTCTCCAATTTGTAACACAGGGTGTAAATCCTGGTCACTGCTGGGAAGGTGGGTGGACTTTGAATCGGTGCTCCCAGCACTGGGAATTCCATCACTCTCTTGAAATGAGCTGGAGCAACTTGGGGAAACAGAGGTGCAGGGTGTCCTGAACTGCTCACAAGGATTCATTAGGAGCTGACATAAAATGCTTGTCCTACTGTGGCCCAGGAAAAGCCCCCAGGGCTGATGAGAAGTGAATTCCTGCCTCTGTGCTGTGGGACCAGTGAATCTCTACCTCCCCAGGATGTGGGAGGCAGGGAGTATCCATGGGTTCAAAGTGCTATTATGGACAACAGATAGAGGAAGAGACAGCAGAAGCAAGAGAGAAGAATGTGCCCTCTAACTGCAGCATAACAGTGGTGGATGCTGGAGAAGTCCACAGGGAGCAGATGCCAGGAGGGACTGGGCCCACGTGTTGTCTCCTCCTGCCACTGCTGGAGTCACCACTGGACCTTTGATCAGATCATAGGGCAGTTCAGGTCTTGGGGCTGTTCCCATGCACCTACAAATCACTGTTTTACACTGCCCAAGATTCCCCTTTGCTCCCACTGAAGCCTGTTTGAATCCCAATGTGATGCTTCGGATCAGACCAAAGAAAAACATGGGTAAAGAGAGGATCAGTTTTCCAGCAAACATAACCATGCCCAGCTCTCACTAAAGCCAGTTTGGATGTGATCTGCCAGCTTCCCTTGGTCTATAAAAAGAACAGGAAATCCATTAAAAAAGTCATTATCTCTGCAGAGCAGTCCAAGGAGGAAATATTTCCCTGCGTCTCAAAGGTCAGCCCAACCAACCAGCCCAGCAGGCTCTGCTGGGGATGACACCCTGCTCTGGGGTGGCTGACCTGCTGCTTCATTCCTGAGCCTCAACAGGAGCCAAACCTCCTAAAGATGCTGCACAGCCGTGTTGCAAACCTCCCTCTGAGGATGCTCCAGAGCCTAAAGGGGACTTGAGGGGACTTTGAACAAGGGCCTGGAGTGACAGGACAAGGGGGAATGGCTTCAAACTGCCAGAGAGCAGAGTTAGATGGGATATTGGGGAGAAATTCCTTCCTGTGAGGGTGGGGAGGCCCTGGCACAGGTTACCCAGAGAAGCTGTGGCTGCCCCATCCC